GGGCGGGGCCAGAGCAGCTGGGGTGGGGGTGGGGCTCAGCCCTCCAGGAGGAGGGGAAGGGCCCCTTCTGTTGGGATTTGAACCAGCCAATCAGCATCGCCGTGCTTCCCCTGCCCCCCCTCCCGCCCCTCCCCTCGCAGCTGCAGCTCTGAGCTCATGCTCTGGCTCAGCCTGAGCTGGCCGCAGCTCTGATCGCCCTTCGCCCCAGCGTGGTAGGAATGTCAGAGGCAATTATGGAGGTCCTCAGAATGCGGACTTCCCCTAGGCAGGCTGAGGGAACCAGGTGGAGAGGGACTGGAAGGGGTATGACTAGGGATTCCTCCTTTGCTCAGCAGGCTCCTTGGCCCCGTGCCCTGCAGGGCTTTTGCGCTCCAGTGGTTTTATTGGGCACATTGTTATTGGTGAGCTTTCCCCCACTGCCACCCCATAACAACCCTCCCAGGCCCTTCCACTTTTTGCTGGTCCACCAAGTTAACAAGATCTCAGACCCTCAGCAGGCTGGTAGCATGAGGATGGGAGAGTCACTGGATAGAGACCTGTGCTGCCGCTTTGTGGCTGTGTGGCCTTGAGTAAACTGCTTCACATCTCTGATCCTGTTTCCCCTGTGGAACATGGAGATAAGTTCAGTTCTCTATAGGACTTTTATGAATATAAAATGAAATTACTGAAGAGAGTGCTGTGTGATGGGTGTGGTAGTCTTCAACTGAGCATATGATAGGAGGGTGTCATGGGTGGGGACACTCGGGTCCCACAGCCTTTTCTTGTAGAAGGTCCCAGAACACATCAGTAATATGTACCCCATCCTTAGATAAGGATGCTCTGGCCTTGGCTGTGTCCTGGGTGACCAGCATCATTTTCTCCTCAGAGCCTCAGTTTCCCTCTGTGTAAAGTGGGGGTGACACTCCCATCATGTGATTCTTGAGGGAATTCAGTCACACGTGGCTCAGGATGCTGCCCGGCCTGGGATGCTGCTCTCAGTTGCCATCTCTCTTGCTGAAGATCGGAGCCACGGGGACATACTGCAATCCGAGGTTCAGAGCCCAGTGCTGATGTGCCCAGGAGCTGGGGGCCCTTCGCTGCTGATGGCCTTCGGCAGGGACCAAGGCCGGCACTGTAAACAGTGACCTCATGGCTGAGCACATTTGTTTGCGCTTCAGGCATTTGCCCCACGTCCGGATGCTGCAGCTGCCTCTCCTCCTTGGTCTCTCAGCCCCCTCCTTTGGATGTAACTGTGGGGCCCAATGAGACGAGCACATGGGGCCCTTTAGGCCCTTCTGACATAGTAAGCCATGTTGGGACTTGTCCTTGACAGCCCGGTGTCTGTAGCTTTATGCCTTCAAGCCTGCCCCCACAGCATCAGCTTTAGACCTTCTCCGTCATGTGACCTTGGGCAACTGACCTGTCCTTCCTGAGCCTCAAAGTGGAAATAAAATGTGTCCTGAGGGTGAGAAAAGCTTGTGGTGCCAGCCTGGGGAGGAGCTAACTGGTTCTATAAATGACCTGTGAGAGCCCAGGGCCCTGGGACCACTGGAAATCTGCGAGGGGAAGGCAGGGCCAGGCCGTGGTTCCTGCTGCCCACTCCCGGTGGCGGCGGTGCCCTTTGCTTCCCGGCCCTCATGGAGGCTGCAAGGCACTGCGGGGATCTGAGCTTGTGGGCTCTTCGGTCTAGAATTCTGCAGCTTGGGGGGATGCTTTCTTAACATGGGGCCCTGGGGTACAGAGAACATGGGACAGGGAATCCATGGAGAAGGGAGAGGATCCAGGAACTCTCATGGGGACCAGATGCGCTTCCCAGGCGGAGGCCTTGGTGGATATGGGACACCTCCTATCCCCACCCCCATAGAAGCACGTTTGGGAGAGGACCTTGACCCTAGTAGCCCTCTTTAGACAGTGGGGCAGGAGCAGGAGCAGGGGCGGGGGCAGGGGCAGGGGCAGGGGCAGGGGCAGCTCCCCACACATGTTCAGCCAGTCACTCCTTCATCATGTGCTGGATCCTCATTTGTTTGTTCACCAGCAAACTATTATTAGGCATTTAGTGTATACCCGGCCCTGAGCTCCTCCTGGGACACATGTGAATGAATCTGAAGAGGCATGGCTTTGGTCTCTGTGGTCCACTACTTCCACCCCAGTGCCGAGGCAAGATGAATGAATGGAATGTTGGTGAGGAGAGGCCTTCCTGAGTGACCTAAGAGCCCCATATTGGGGACTTTAGCCATAAGCCTGGGCCAAGGTGCATAAAACCGATGCAAAGAGGCAAAGCAATAATCAGTAATACAAGAAAAAATGCTTTTGTGGCTGGGCGGTGGTGGCGAACGCCTTTAATCCCAGCACTCGGGAGGCAGAGTTCGGGGCCAGCCTGGTCTACCGAGCAAGTTCCAGGACAGGCTCCAAAGCTACACAGAGAAACCCTGTCTCGAAAGAAAGAAAAACAAACAAACAAACAAATGCTTTTGTCGCTGGGCTGGAGGTGTAGCTCAGCTAATGAGTGCTTTGCCTAGCAGGCACGGAGCCCTGGCATTGGTCTTCAGCACTGCATAAACTCAGCAAGGTGGCATACGCCCAGCGCTTGAGAGGCAGAGGCAGGAATATCAGAAGTTCAAGGCCATCCCTGGCTAGTAGCAAGCTCAAGGCTGGGATGGGGAGAAAAAGACTTTCCTGTGTGGCTGGAGATGCAGATGAGTGGGAGAGTGCTCGCCTAGTGTGCACAAAAGTCCAAGGTTCATTCCCAGCCCAGCCTAAAACAAAAATCCCTGTAGAGATGGTTCCTTGAACTTGTGGCCTTTGAGCGGCTCTGGTGGTTCTTAAGTAACTTACACAATCAAAAATAGGCCATGAAACTATGAAAGAAATGCAACTTTGTAATACGTTAATAAATAGAGTGAATTATTTAAAAATAATAGTAAATAAGAAGCCTTGTATTTTTTGATTACCTTCTGGATTCCAGCCACCACCCAAGCACCCCCGATGCCATTTACCCCCCCAGCAGCCCTCATGAGCAGTGTATCCACCCATTTATTGCTGACCACGTGGCCAGTGAATGCTGGCACTGGCCTTGAATCTAGTTTTCTTCTCTGCAAAATCTCTTTCTGATATTGAAGGTTTGCCTACCCTACTTTACGGGTTGAGGAAAGCTCTGTGGCCCAGGGTGGCTACAGGGGAGACTTGTGGGCCTCCATCTGGCGTCCTCAGAGAGCTTCGGGCTGGAGGGGGCAGTGGGCAGAGGAGGGAGGAGAGGCATGCCCAGTTTCCTCTCAACTGTTGTTTTTCCTGGCCTTCCCTGCACACTGCCAAAGGGGTCTGTGCTGAGTTGGGCTTGGGCCCAGGCAGAGGGCAGAGCCAGGGAGGGCTGCTTCCCTTCCAGAGGGAGGAGGTGCATGGTCATTTCCGACACTGGCAGGCTTGGGTTCTGGGCTGTCTATGCTGTACGGGTTTTGCTGGCAAAGCCTTCAGACTCCTGGGGGACCCTGGCTGTGCTGGCCGCCCCAAACTCCAGGGAGTCCCAGTCCAGCCCAGGCATGCTCCATGTGTGTTACCCTGAAAAAGTCACTTCTGGGCTTCTGTAAAGTGAGGGCAGGACTAGCATCTAGGTGTCAGCAGGGCCCAGACTTCCTGGGGATAGCATCTATTTGCGTTTTACCAGCTTAGGAGGGCTCCCTTCACCGCACCCCAGCCCCCCTGCCCTGCCACACCCAGCAGCAGAGGCAGGACAGAGGGGATCCTCCAGAGTCTGGGGTGCTTTTCCTGCTGAGCCTAGACCCGGGATTAGAGACTGCCACTCTGTTAGCTGCGTCCGAGGGATACTTGGACACTTGTCCAGCCTCTGTCATTCTAGCATGTTGTATATTCCAGAACAGGCCTCAGGGTCACTGTGACCTCCAGCAAAGTCATGCCTGTCTCAGGACATTGGTTCCTGGGAGCAGCAGCCACAGGTCATCAGACACTCCACTGTGGCAGGCGCCGGGTGAAGGCTTTGTGAGCAATAGCTGATGTGATCCTCCTGTCGGCCTGAGATTGCCCTGTTACTGCTGCACCCATTTTATACACGCCGAGAACACTGAGGCACAGGGCCAGGAAATGACTTTTGCTGACGATTACATGCTGCCCATTTGGTACTGGGCTTCCAAACTAACCCTCATCCCTCACAGGCTCCCCCAGCTGAATATAAAGGCACCTGTAAGAACAGAACAACCCAATATGTTGCCCCCAAAAGCTGGGTGCCTGGGTTTGGGTTTGGGGGTCTGTGAATCCCTAGATTCATGGCTCTTGGGTGAGTCTTAGGACCCCTTGTGCCTCAGTTTCCCTGTCTGCTGAGTGAGGGTGATGAGGTGACTGACTATGGTGGGATGGTCACTGGGACTCCAGGTGTGTCCTCCTTCAGCTTGGACATCCTCTGTCTCTCCCACCCTGGCTCAGGTCTCTAAGGACATCTCCATGCGGCTTCATAAGGAGCTGGAGGTGGTGGAGAAGAAGCGGATGAGGCTGGAGGAGGAGAACGAGGGCCTTCGGCAGAGGCTCATCGAGACGGAGCTGGCCAAGCAGGTGCTGCAAACGGAGCTGGATCGTCCCAGAGAGGTGAGGGCTACAGCCCAGCTGGCCCGGGTGGCATGTGCATCTCCCCTGATTGCTTGTGGACCGAGATGGGTACCCTTGGGCCTCCCTGGCAGTGTGGATTATCCATTCATCCTTCCAGCATGGATTTGCTGAGTAGCCCATCTGTATTCTACACTGGACGTTCAGAATAGAGTGGTGAAGCCAGGTGGT